ACTACTGCTATTTAACCCATTGTTAATATTGTTATGCAATGACCCACCAGACCAAGAATTTGCTTTGCTACGAGTGTTGGAACTAATTAATTGCTTATTTTGTGCATTAGTTTTCTTTTCCTTTTTTGACGGCATTACGAATGAATGAATATTTTTTATTATTTTTGAGAATGTAATTTGATTGGCTCAAGCCCGCTAAGCCGATAAATTTCTTAGCCGGCTAACATCACTAACAACAATCCAAACAACGAATACATCAATATGCAGTAGATAGTTTTATACAACATGATGGTAGTGTTAGTACAGCATTCAGCCTATTACCAGGACCAAGAAAACATTTGTTTGGATTAGTGTTGGTTTCCAAAATTAGAGAGTTTCGCAACCGTGCGAAAGTTAAAAGGTTTCGCCATAAGTCGAAACTAGCTTTGACTTTTGACTATTGACTTTTGATTTAGTTTTGACATATAACTTTTAATTTTAGTTTTGACTTTCGTCTCTTTAAAATAGTTTTGGCGACCAACACTAGTTTGGATGAAAAGGCGTGTATTTTTATTCATTTAATATTTATATATATTTTTTGTGTGATTTAAATATAGAATCAGATTTACTTCTTTGAAACAAATGTCGAAATATGTACGAACAAGCCTTTAATGAACTAAGAACCAAGGAAAAAATATGAGCGATTATTCAATGAAGGTGTGAGGAGTTAAGACAGTTGTTGTAAAAGTTGTTCCTTTGGAAGTTGTTGATAATATATAGGTTGAGTGTCAACGAGATATCAAGTTGTTAGATGCGACTTTTGGTAGCCCATGGGAAACTGTCACCTTGACAACATTGGCCCGTGATCAACATTTGTTTGTTGAAGGAAACACAAGAGCTAGCATTAGCTAAACTGTTATTATTACTAGTTGGGGCTGAATGGTCACCTTTTGGACTACCGAGAAACGTAGATTATTGGGATAGATATATACTTTTATTTAATAATAATATGGTTATATTTGTTATTGTTAATATCATGAATGTTAATAGTGTTAGGAATACCATATAGGCGTGGGTATTTGTTGTATGGGCCATCAGGAAGTGGCAAAAACAGTTTTTTTACAAGCACTTGCAGGAGTTGGAATATACAGTATATTAAATTTGGCAGAATTTTGATCAATCGAATCATTTTGATGAGCAATGCACCCCAACGAAGCATTATATTATTAGAAGATATTGATGCAACTTTTAACCCAAGCAATTACTGAAAGCTACAACAGAACAGCAGCAATATCATGGAAAAAAGTATAAGAAAAAATTTATTACTATAAATGCTTTATTTATTGTAATAATATAATATATTGTTTTTTGATTTATTAGCCATCCTCAGCCAATGGTATCATTTAGTGGATTATTAAATGCATCGGGTGGAGTAGCATCATCTGAAGAGCAATATAATATTTATAAAAATTAATCCATTGGTAGAGCATCTTTGTAATATTGTAGAAGTGATATTATCTATAAATTAATTATAGTATTAAATAGTGATGTTAGCCGGTAGGAAAACCTTAGCCAGATAAGAACTTAAATAAATCCCAGTTGATGAAAAAGCTTTTCAGATGGTACTGAGCTTTCCGGTATTATTATTATTGCTACTACTATAGTTATTACTATAATTATTATTACTATTATTTATTATTGTTATTATATAATATCTCGCCTTTAGTGGTTCGAATAGAATGAATAATTCGAATTAAAATAAGAATTTGTATTAATATTACGAATAGAAACTATGATTTATCTTGCTATTATGTATTTGTACATTGTTTTTTGAGAAATGTATATTTTTTGTCATTCTAAGTAATGCAGGTGGACCATCTCAACTAAATGTTTATGTCACTGAATTCTGCATTAAAATTCCAGATGTAAAAATGAATGTCAAGAGAAATTTTTTTAGCCGGCTAAACTGTGTAAGTCGTCTAAGCCAGCTAACATCACTAGTATTAAAAAAAATATATTCTAGTGATTATAAAATAACTTATGTTATTTACCATCTTCACTTTGTAAATAATCTAAATATCTAATACTTGTAAATATGTCTCCTGAAACTCGAAGAATTTTAGCATGCAATATCAAAATCGTGATGGTGATTATCACTAACACTCACTAGTCAATTCTATGAATACAAAGTGTTGTCCGAATATTAATTGGAAATACTGATAGTATTTTATTGTAATTGTAAATGTAAGGCTTTGCTTAAGTTGTTTTGTAAATAAACCAAAGCGAGTTTGCTATCGGCCAATAAATATAAACAAGGGCAAACGATTGAAATAAACCGATCACGAGTGATTAAAAAGAACTTTATAACATCGTAAAGGGGCAATCTTTATTATTTACAGTTATCTGATACCATTAAGTATGCCCACAGATTCGCCTAGGTGCAGTAATCGAAAACCAAAGTAAATTCGTAACTAATTAATTGACAAAGCACCGAATTATTGTGAGTTGCTTGCAATTAAATGACAAAATGATCCCATCATTTAACAAGAATCAAAAACTATAAAAAAATTATTATTATAATAATTTAGCTTTAAGAAATGAATAAATTAGTCATTCATCGCATCTTTCCTTTACTATTATTACTAAAATCTAAGGTTTTATTAATTAATTAATTAATTAATGGGTAGTGATTCCAATTAATTAATAATGAAATTTTTATTCGCCTTGTTAACATCTTAGAGAAAAGAGCCAAAATCAAGATTATTTAACGAGCCATTATTACTTGTATAAATTTTAAAGCTTATAGATTTAGCAATCTCCTCATCTAAGATTCTACTTGTATGATATGCACTTGGATGTGATTTGTGCGCTAGTTGCGAAGCACCACCACCACCACCACTGCTGCTGCTGCTGTTACTATCATTATTAAAATCAATTCCACGTTTTTTGATTTTAAAAAATTTGAATAATCTTTTTATTAAACTATCATTGCTATTATTATTTTTAATAATTTCATTACGTTTATTTCTAGCAAAATCAAGCAGCTCTCTACTAGTTGGTCTCTTTGATGGATCCACATCCCAACACCTCTGCATCATTTGCACATAATCATCAGGCATTCCAGGTAATATTGTGGTCGTAAACCTTCCTCACATATATCAAAAATCAAACGATGATTGTGAGCTCTATCATCAAATGGTGGATGACCTGCAAATATTTCCCACATTAACATCCCAACACTATAGATATCTGTTTCTTTGGTGTTCTTTTTGCCTCTAAGTAGCTCAGGTGCAACATATGATACAATCCCATAGGCTTTATTTGATGACTTTTCATCAACTGGCCCACATAATTCTAAATCTGTAATATAACAACTACCTTTGCTTATTAATATATTACCACTATGTAAATCACAATGAATTAAATCTTTCTGATGTATATCATCTAATGCATTGCGTAAGCATTTAAAGATTGTGATTTTGTCCTTTAATGTTAAATGACTTTTTTGCAAGTGATCCCTTAAATTTCCTTCTAAATGATGATCTAAAACTATTGCATAATTTCCATTATCTGGAAATTTAGTCATACCATAACAACGATTAAGCATTTTTGATTTAATTTTACAATAATTCACTGCCTGAAAGTAAATATAAAATTGATTAGTATTTATATAATACAGTATTATTTTAAATAACAACTACCAACCTCATCAAAAAAGCTTTTCCTGGATTACTTGAATCATTTAAACTTTTTAATACCACATGTTGCTTTCCTAAATAACTAAATTCCATTTTATTTTCATTGTAATCAATTATTCTCCCTCTTGTCCATTTTGCAGTAAAAATTGAACTAAATCCACCTTCAGTTAACTTTGTTACTTTTTCAAATTGCTCAAAAGGTATCCATTCTAAAATATAAGTTGGCAGAGAAGATTTTGTTTGAGATTGTTGAATAAAATCATCAATTATGTTATTTCCAGATGTCCAACTGGTGAAAAGACTCTGTAATTGTAAACTAATACAACCTTCACAGAATCTATCAGAGTATCTTGTCAATTTACATTTGTTACATTCTTTTGATTTGCCCAATCCATACACTGCATTACTTAATTCAAACTCATAAATAAACCTTTCCTTGCAAAATTTATTTTCATTTTCGGAAAGCTCCTTGTTTTTTTGACCAATGAAAAAAAATAAATTTTTCTACTTTCTCTATCAGAATTAACCACTGCATTACGATATATTTCACCATAAATTTTGCATAGAAAATCCTTTCTTTCTGGTGATAACGATGATAATAATCTAGCGTATGACATTATATAAAAATATAAAATATAAAAGTCGACTTGATGTTTTAACAGTGAAGATTTTTTCGAGAATAACAATTACATTATTTCCTTTTTCTTTACGGAATTAATGGTGTGTAACAAACAATGTTCTCGTAATATTGTGTGATAATCTAACTTTTTGTTATAATGGGTTTTTTTTGACAGTAAAATAGTTTATTTATTGCCTTTAAATTTTTCTCTAACAGGATCAATTGATAAAGAATTAATATAAATCTTGAAAAATTGAAAATGAAAATTGCATTATTTAAAGAACAACTCCAATCAGCGCCAAACTCTAGTGGTTGATTTATCGTGACTCAACAATTAAAGGATTTCAGCATTCTTTGTTTTCTATTTTCATCACTTTTAAATTAAAACTTACAAAAATTTGTACCAAACAAAACCTATCTTGTGTGCTATGTAAAGGTCGTTCTACGTATCAACATTGATCAACGTATGTTGCTTCGAACTCAGACGCCCAATTCCGTTTTTACTTTATTATTAATATTACTTTGTAATGACTATGACGCACAGTTAACTTTAAAGTTAAAATTCGAAAAAATCAATTTAACACAACTCGTAGGTATGTAAAAGTTGCTCTACATGCCAATATTGATCTGCTTCAAACTCAGGCACTAAAGACAATTCAGACGCGTATTGATTTTTTCATTTTATGAAATGTAATGATAAAGAAGAAATATTGGTAACAGTTGTAATAGTTTTAGTAATAATAAAACAAATTAAAACTATTCTATTATTATTACATACATATGAGTTGTGTTAAATTGATTTTTTTTCGAATTTTCGACTTTTGAAGTTAACTACATATAATAATAATAGTAATACACAATAATATTAATAATGTGCTTGAGCTGTCTTTAGTGCGAGTTTGAAGTAATATAGGTTGATCAATATTAGTACTTAGAACGACATTTACATAGCACATAAGACAGGTTTTGGTACAGATTTTTGTATGAAAAGATTTTAAAAGTGGTAAAAATATATAGAAACAAATAATGATGAAATTCTTTTGATAAATCGATCACTAGAGTTTGGTGATGATGAAGTAGTTATTTAAATAACGTAATTTTCATTTTTCAATTACATCCTTTATCAATTAATCGGCAATTAAATAAACTATAAAAAATGTATACGAAAAAATTATTTGGTGTACGTCATTTAGTTCTCCACAAAGAAAAACAAGTAAATGAAAACGTAACAGTGAGTTTCGTGAAATACAGATTGATATTATAGTGAGATGATATTTTTGGTGTCATAGTATTATAAAGTCGCATGTCTCGATCACTTATATAGGATATTCCTTTAAATTAAAGGAAAATATTATATACAGAAAGGTTCTTTTTACGGAATATACAGAACCCTACAAATTAGTATAAGATTTCAATGATTTCAATGGTGATAGTTTTCAAAAATCACTTATGTTCCTGTGATGGTTTAGCAACATGCGTTATTTATACATTAATTTTTATTATATATTTTTTAAATAGAAATAAAAATTATTTTTTACTATATATTTTTATCATTATTATTTTTTCTAGCATTGCTAGTCAACTAGCAATATCCACTACTAGAAAATTTATCTTTAGCCATGATTAGGAATTTTTTTCAAGACAACTAAGTCAAGAAAATATTGGTCAAAATTTTATTTTTTTAGTTTAATAAAAATGTTTAGAGATGCTAAATTTTGCACATAATTTTGTGATTTTTTAAAAAATAAAAATTTAATCAGTACTCCTTTTTAACATTAGGCGAATATATTATTTAATAGATTACTTTATACATTCAATGGTTAATATTTCAAGATGATGGTTATTAACATAGATTGGTTAATTGTTAAAACTTCATGTCAAGATTTTTTTTCAAATTTTTTTTTATTTATAATTTTATAAACTTTATATACAAAATTTTGACAATTTGTGATTTCCTAATCAACTCGCTAATTTTTTCTATTACTATTACTATTTTTATTGTTATCATTATTATTTTTTTTTATTATCATTTTTTCTATTACTATTATTACCATTATTATTATTTTTTTTACATTTTGATCTAGTATAATGGACTTTTTGGGGAGTATGCCTTTTAGTTTTTACTTTTAAAGGGTTTTTAATCTCATTTTCTTCTTTTGTTATTTCCAAATACACATCTTCAAGTGCCTTTTCTACCAATAAATATTTTTCTTTGTCTTCATCAGCAATTTTCACAACTTTTCTAAATTTATCAAACGCTGTAATATAATTGTTATCTTTTCTATTGTTATTTCTTTCAACAATTGCTGGTGGATTTATTTTTAAAAATTTTTTTGAACTTTCACCAAATGTTTCGACAAATGGTTTTGGTTCATTGTAAGTCCTAATGCAATTACTACTCAAGATATTTTCCTTTTTCAACTTATTATCATCTATTGGATCCTTAAACCATCTTTTTGCAATCACACTTATATGAAATTTTAAGATTTTGCTACTTCTTAAAACTACAAAAAAGTGCCTGTATACTATTCCATGATTTGATGGGAGCATACAAGTACACACATATGAACCATCAGCAAAAACAAGGACATATTGGTTTTTATTTGAATTATAGTGATATAATTTCCAAATTTCTGATGGATTTTCTTCAGCCGCCAAGATTAGTTCATGTAATGAAGAACCTCTTACATTAAAAATATCAAAGTTATTGCCATCCTCATTATTAATGTTGTTGGTATTAATATCATTATCAGAATTATCAACACATAATTCTTCAATTGTAGAAATATTGCATTGATAAAAATATGAAGACACCATTTCTATTTTAATCAAAGACTGAGAAAAGTCTGATAAGTGTATTTTCATGTTTGCAATTATTTCTTTATATACATCAATTATGGTGTTGTAAAACCCATAATTGATGTTTTTACTCAAATACCAACTGTTAACTTTAATTTTCTCTGTTTTTTGTATGTCATTTTCAATTTTTTTCAAAAACTTCAACAAGACTTGAATTAGAATGTAATTTTTTTTTTATGATTGCATGATAACCTTCTAAACACGAAGTTGTTTGATACCAGCTGTCATTATTTGATTGTTCCAACACCATGCCCACTTATTTCTAACATTGTACAAGTGCTTATTTGAATAATTGTCAACATTTCCATTAAAGTATTTTTGTATTAATTGATCCCACGAGTTATCAAATGAAATAATTGAAATGGAATCTAAAAGATTTTTAATTCGTGATACGTGAAACAACTGCAATAATTTCATAACAGAATTTGGCGCAAATTTTCGCAGATCACTAATTGAAATTTTCCGGAACCCTTACTTCATTCCTAACAAACTACTATTTATACGAATTTATAAATTGTATTTGCAAATGTAATAAATAATAAGAAACCCAAAGTTTTAATATACAAATTTTCAAAGGGACTTTCTTATAAAATATTTTATCTTTATATGGAGGGACCACTGGATTCTTGCCTAAAATTGCTATATAAAACTTAAGATTCAAGTATAATATTTAATTATTTATTCAAGAAAAAAAATATAAATAGGCATTAGTATTTAGTTTTATTCAAAAAAAAAGAAATATAAATAGATGTTTGGTTACTTTGAAAAGTTTAAATTTTAAATTTTAATGTCGCGCGTAATCATGCTTAATCACGTGAGGGACGGTCATATTCCAAAAATTCTAATGATCGGCAAAATTTTGCAGTTGTCTCACGGAGCACGAATTAATGATTATTAATGGTTTTATATACATTTATATATTAATATAACATATATGTAAAATTTTGAGCTAAAATCATATCAATTGACCAATTATTTCAAGATTACAAGCACTAATGTTACTGCTATTTTTAAAAGGTATGTGAGATTATATTAAAATATTTATTTCTTTTTCCAAATGTTGCAAAGGGTTGAACGATCTGACGATCTGACAGTGTACAATCCGTTACGCAATCATATTTTATTAATTATTAATTATTTAGAAAATATAATTGTTTGTAAAATTCAACATCAAAATATTCTAATTAATGTTCCTGTAATAACAATATACTATTAATAATAAACTATTAAAAGGATATGTATGCAATGTTGCATCAACTATTAACTATCTATTTTTTTTATTTTTTTCAAGAAAAAAAATGGATGTACGATCAGAAACGATTGTTACGCATAATAATTATTATCGTTTATTATTTATTATAATAATCTTTCGATGGATAATGTAGTGACAAAATTATTTCTGATAACTCTGGTGAAAACTAATTAATAATTCTCCAAGAACGCATTTTTAAAATAAAAATTTTCTGAAACATTCATGTGTTTCTTATGTAATTGGTATGTGATATAAATTTTAGAAAAGGAATATGATTAAAAGATGTTATCATCAATAAATAAAATTTCTTTATTGTTAATTATTATTTCTCCAATTCTTTGTATTCATAATTATCAAACAATAAATTAACTACCATTATTATTATTATTATTTTGAAATACCATGTAATTTTAAAATTCTAAATAAATTAATAACCTTATAAATAACTATAAATCAGTCCCTTATAATTATAAGCAAAATTTTTCTAACACAATCTTCCAAGTGGTTATAAGCGACTTTGTAGGGAACACTTTGGCACAACTGCTGTTGCTGAATTTGCTTTAGTCTGCATTATACTTGTCGTCAGAATTTCCATAATTACGGCAAATTCGGCATTACGTATAAGCCGTAAATGATTTTCGGCATGAGACCTCAAAGTCATAAAAGCCGTAAACTGTAAAACCGTAATGCTGTAAATGCCGTAAATGCCATAAATGCCGTAAATCCTAATATCATAGTAATAGTAGTACTGTAACACCTAATAATAACACAGAAAAATTTTCCATGAACCTTTAATAATATTAAACGTCTTTTTTATTAATTCAATTAAACATAACATAAACATACTAATGTAGGTTTTAAACAACAGTGAATGATAATAAATATTTATAGAAATAGTTATATTATATGAAATAATAAGTTTTTTCTTAATAAAATATTTTTCAATTATTAAAAGAAAAAATGAGTTCTATGAGTTCTGTTAGGTCGGGCATGTCAAGTAATCATCAAAGCAATGGTCAAAAAAAAAATAAAAGAGGTCGTAAAGAATCAATTGTTTGGGAGCATTTTTTTTAAAGAAACAATAGGAGATGGCCACTTCTCTGCCAAATGTCATTATTGCGCAGAAGCTTGGTCTAGAGGTAAACCTGAACTTTTGAAAGAGCATCTAGTTTTACATTGTTCTGCAGTGCCAACTAATGTAAAACTTGAATACATGCAAATATTGATAGAACAATCTTCGAGTTCTAATAAAATACAGAAGATAAATTCATCTAATCCATCCATTACCAATTATATTGATTCTTCTGTAGAAATTGACACAAGTAAGAGAGAGAGAATAAATCAAGCATTAGGTAAAAACAGTTACATTATACAATTATATTATATAATATATGGCTGAAGATGATGATTTGTTTGAATATGGTGAAGATAATGAATTATTTGAGTATGGTGAAGAAGATCAAAACGAAGAGGAGGATGAAAGTCTTGGTTTAAATAATGATATTTTGTTTATGGAAGGTATTATGAATTTGAGCCTTGGATTTGATGTAAATGGAAATGAAGATGAAAGTACAACTAGGAATGAGCAGGAGGTTTTTGATCATGGTGATCGTAATGTTAATTTTGATGTAATTTTTTCTGAAGAATTGCTATATAGAGTAATTTTTTTTGGGAGAAATTTGAATTTTTAATTGTTGTAAAAATAATGATAAATAATAAGTAAACTGTGTTGTATAATAATATTATGATAATGATAGTAAATTGTAAATATTAATATATAGTCATGATGCCATTACTATTACACATGCTGTTATGTCTTTTATTTTCTGGTATTTACTATTACAGTATTTACGGTATTTACAGTTTTACGATTTTACGGTTTTACGATTTTACGATTTTACGGTTTTACGATTTTACGGTTTTACAGTTTTACAGGTTTACGGTTTTACAGTTTTACAGTTTTACAGTTTTACAGTTTACGTTATTTACAGCAAATAATAAGGCACATGCTGTAACCGTATTATTTCTGCCTGGGAATTCCGACGACAAGTATAGAGAAATTAGATCCATTGTTTATATATAAATATAAAAATCCTTGTTCACTTAATGGTAAAAATAAAAACGATTTGTCAATTGATTATTATTGGAACCAATCAGCATGGATGCAAGTCAGTATATGGAATGATTATCTACAAAAGCTTGATAAAAAAATGCATTTTCAAAAGAGAAAAATTTTATTATTGGTCGATAACGCACCAGTTCATTCTCATGAAATTTAGATACTTTGAACAATATAAAAGTGGAATTTTTTTTACCAAATACTACTAGTCATTTACAACCATGTGATGCGGGAATTATTCATTCTTTTAAAGCACAATATAAAAAATTGTTGGTTCGTGATCGCATTGAAGCTTATGAGACAGCTCAGATATTAGAAAAGTCAGTTACTCCTGTTACAATATATGATGCTATTTGTTTTACCAAAAAAGCATGGGGAAGTGTAACATCAACAGTAATAAAAAATTGCTGGAAACATACTGGAATTTTACCTGAAAATTTAGAATTTTTGAATAATGTTGAAGTTGAGGTTGAAGTTGATATTGAACAAGAGAATCATGAAGTTCAAGATTTAATTAACCAACTTCCATTTGATGATTCACTTTTAGCAGATGAGTATTTAAATATTGAGAATAACATGGTTGCAGGCGAATTAGTAATGGAAGACGAGGATATTGTTGCATTAATTCAACCAACAGAAATAGAAATAGATGAGCAACAGGATGAAATCTTTATTCCAAGTGATTTTGATGTATGCGAAGATGAATTAAAATGTATTTGTACTCTTAGAAAAAAATTATTAAGTCATAAGGTTAATAGTTCCGTGCAACAATCTTTAGATAAATATTTTTGTTTAGAATAATTTTTAAATTTATATTTTATAACGTAAGCCGAATTTAAATAAAAATCGTTTTGTTTCATAAACCAAATTTTGATAAGCTGATCCTATTTTTTTGATTCCCAGAAGTTCAGCTTATTGAGGTTTGACTGTATTACTTGCTACTCTAGTTATAACATAATAATAGTTTGATGAAATTCTCTTTAACATCTATAATTTCTAAATGTAAAATTTTTGGATTGAATTGAATTTTTTGAAACCGTGCTCATTTTGATGCACATAAAAAAAATTTTTATCATTAAAAAAATCAATTATTTTTGGACATATATAAAGTTAGTCAAGAATTGAAGTGAAGGATGAGACAAATATAGCAATGGTAGTGTTGTAGCAATAAAAAGTAGTAGTGATGATGGACAATTTTTGACAACAATTTCTTTTTCTGTTATCGCGACTGTTCTCAACAATTGTCATCGGTATTGTTGGCATTTTGGGTGACAACTGAGATTAAAGAAGATCTCATTTAATCAGATATGAAATAGCAATTATTATTTATTATTATAAAAACATATAAATTATTACTGTCATTAAAGATTTAAAGATTTAAAGATTTAATTGAAAAGTATGTAAAATAAATAGATGATATGAAACTAATTGATGAAGCTAGCGAGTGAAGAGTATGAAATTTGTGCTCAAAAAAAATATAGACAATTAATTATTAATATAAATAAATACACATAAAAAAATTATCCATTTATATGTGTGAATATAAAAAAATTATTGATTGCTTAATTATATTTTTTGAGGACATATCACCAATCCACTTCAAAAAGTTCCTGAACTCTCCTCTTGATATATGATTTCTTTAAACTCATGGCTCAGGAGCTTTTCTTTAGTCCTAAATCATGGTACAATTTTCTAGTATTAATTCTTCTGAATATATACTTCAACAGGATTGTAAGTTCCACATTCAACCAACGTCTTGAACCTGAATGGATTCCTTCATCTGATTCTAAGACACTTAAATCTTCATCATCAACTTCCTTTTCACTACCTGATTGCTCTGTCTCCACTTCATCATATTTTATTATTAAATATTTTCCATTCGGTGCTAGGACTTGTTTTGGACTAATCCAACCCTCCTCTTCTACTCCACTTCCTTCTTCTTCCTCATTTTCATCTGACTCACTTTCACCTGACTCACTTTCATCCTCTTGATCCTCTTCATTTAAAGATGTATTATTACTATTATTGGACATCTGCAAAGAATTGGTAGTTGTTGTTGTTGATGATTGATTATAATGATCTTGATAGTTTCTTTTTATGCCATGAGGCATTAAATTATTCAGGTAATTAGAAGAGGAAGAAGATGCAAAATTTCTTTGATAGTACTGTAGACTGTGTTGTTAATGGATAGATTGGAGTTAAATTTGCATTTGTAGTCGATGTAGTGGTGGTAGAAGGAATAGTAGCATTCTTTGGTAATATTGTAGGTACATATGAACGTGTTTCTTGTATAGAGTTACTAATAGTATTGCCGGTAGTAGGAGCAGGGGCAGCATTAGTAGAAGCAGCAGCAGCAGCAACAGTAACAGCAGCAGTGGTAGAAGCAGTAGCAGTAGCAGTGTTGTTGTTGTTGTTGTCATTGTATGTTGCTGAATAATCAGTTTCTTCTGTTGTAGCACAATTTTTAGAATACTTTCCTGATTCTCCCTTGAGTTTTTTTTTAAAAACAAATTAGATTATAATGTAATATTACCAATAAAAAAATTGATAATAATGAAGATACCTCATAAATCTTTTTTAACAAATGGAAGACATCCACTGGTTTCAGTGGTATCATTCCTTTTCGTAGAGAAGTTTTTATTTCGCCAAACAATGCCTCTATATCTATATACTTAGAATAATCTTCATTCCAATTATAATAAATTCAAATTTAGCTAATGCAAAAAAGATTACAAAGACATGCAATAACATGAATATTTATTTACTAGAATCATAATCATTATCCTCTTCATTCTCTTCTCTCTTTCGTTTATTATCTCTAATATAATATTTTTAGGGATAATTAGAATTAGAACTAGAATTACAACCATTCTTTTTAAATAAACTAGAGTGACGACGAGTGGCGGCGGGCAATAGCCACCACCACCATCCTTAAAACACTTACTCTCTAATAGCACCGGTGTCATCTTGTCTGCTTCTTGTATTATTTCTTCTGGTATCTTTCGGCATTTTTAAAATCTTTAAGAAAAAAAGTCTGTGATATGATCGACGCGTACGTGTTAATTATTTATCCTATTGGTTTTTTTTTGGTAGGACAGACGCGCATTGATTTTTTTTTTTTTTCTTGG